GTAAATGCATCAGCAAGTACCTTTCAAAGTCTGCAGTCCAGAAAGAATTTCTGCTTGTTTTTCAAAGTTTTGAACTCTTGGTAAACCTGGTGGTATTTCAGAAAGCAAACAGGCATTGTCTAAGTGGACTTATATCTTATTTCAGATAATTCAGTTTCTCACGCGAGAAACTGAAAAAGAGCAAAGAAAGCAGGAAACGTTCTCATATACAATAACCTATAATCTACTAATTCAGAGATATCCATTATTTGCAACAAGATTTTCCAACCCACAGTGAACTTTGCTGTCAGACACAGGACATTTGGCACTGTACTGTAATGAATGAAAGAAAGAAACCAGGTAGTAATTCTCTGAACCTGTTAACCTCTACTGGAGACAATAACATGCTCTGCAAGTGTGTGAGGAGGTTTGCTTTGACGAGTGTGAGTTTCACATATAAACCATGATTTCTCAGAAGAGGGTTTAAGTTTTAATACCCGATTCAAAAGGCAGGTATATACTACCATTCAAAAGTTTAAGGATGGATAAGATTTTTTTTTTCTTTTTTTGAAAAAGTGAAGTCTTTTATAATGTTAGAACAGATTTCGATTTCAAATAAATGCTGTTCTGTTTTTAAATTTTATATTCCCCTGAATCCTAAAAAGTATATGGTTTCCCTGAAAATATTAAGCAACACAACTATTTTCAACATTGATAATAATAAATATTTCTTAAGCGGCTAATCAGCATTTTAGAATGATTTGTGTTTGTGTGATGTGTTTTAATCGTATAAGTTGTATATGATTTAATCATATTATTGGGCTAATATTGCTGGTTTAATCCCTAAAAGAAGCAAGCATGAGATCTCTATTATGTCTTTGACATTTAACCCAAACTTTTTGCTAACAACCTGAAGTCTGATCCACACCGCAGTTTATTACGGTAAAGAACTGCTCACTTAGACAAGAAAAGAATGCATGACAGACAAATGAAATGAACTACTTGTTCTTTTTGTTTTCACATGCCACTTAAGGGCAAGTAAATAGCTGTACTACAGTAATAGACTGGTATGGGGAAACCGCTGTTAAATAAACATGGAATATGTGATCTGAATATCTGAATATCTGATTTCATAGAAAAAACAAAAAGGTTCAAACATGAAGATATCAACATCAATATAGAGACTGCTAGAGAATTTTACTAGAGAGAAAAAGGGCCTTTTCCTTTCAGTGATGACAACTATTAGCTCTGGAAATTCATTTTTGATTAAAAGATTGATTAAGGTTTCAACTTCAAATTTTCACCTTTAGTGAACCTATTCAATTTTCAGTCAAATAAAGTCTTTGTATAAGGAGAGAGTACAGTTTTCACAATCACTAGCACCCATCTTTCAACAATTAGGTTCAAAACTGAATAAGAAAGCTGTTTGCTACATTTCTACAGTAATGCTGTATTTCAAATGTAAAAAATGAAATACTATCCTATCAAAACAACTAGATGAAGGGTTAGCATGGACTGTGTAAGTGAATTCTGAACAGTAGAGAGCTGTCAATCTTGTTTTGTAAATAATTTTTCACATAAGAAATAATGTTTGTAAGTAATTTTAGCTCAGTGTTTTATGAATGACAAAGTGTGTTTGTTGGGTGAAAACCTTTGTTAGTGTTATTGAAGAGTGTCTTGAGACCTGTATGACGTGATTTGGTAGTTTTAGTGCATTTTCGATGCAAAATGTATTTTGGATAAAGTTTGATAAAAAGTTTAAAAGGTGTAAAGGTATAAAAATGTGCAAGTGCACTATTTTGTATTTGTCCACTAGGTGGCAGGCCAGCATTTTAATGCTTTTGAGACTAACGGTACATGCCACAACACCAAAATCTAAAATAAAAAGTTGTTGTCATAAAAGGCAGTACTTTCTGTTAATATTTTATCATTTGAAGTAACTTTCTACAGAGCTGTAGACAGAGTTGCCACACTTGACCAATGGATATCAATCTATGACCTTTCTTGACACACACATAGGTTTCAAATTAATTTGCTTAGAAAAAAAAAAGGAAAAAAAAGCATATCATCTAAAAATGTGCATGTTTTTTTCCAGGTCTGACAATCAAAATATTACAACCCTCTAAGATTTCCTGATTTTCCCGCATGCATATGACCATAAATTTAAACTTCTATCAAACCTACAATTAGAAATGTTCGCCGGTTCCCGCCTCCTTCCCGTGACTACGAACTACGTTACACATATCATCTAAAAATGTGCACGTGTTTGTTTTTTGTTTTTTTGTTTTGTTTTTTTTCCAGGTCTGACAATCAGAATATTACAACCCTCTAAGATTTCCTGATTTTTCCGTATGCATATGACCATAAATTTAAACTTCTATCAAACCTACAATTAGAATGATAAGTTAACAAAGTCATCTTTAAGGGTTATGATATTTAACGCAATCTGAAAGCTTGTGTATATTCTGTTCACCTGTAAAAAAAAAAAAAAAGTAGGACAGCAATTTATATAAATGCATATTATCTTTCTATGGAGTTACAAACTAACCTGATTTCGTATTTCCGCATTGTAAGAGAAATATTGTTCATCTGTGGATCATATAGCCTACTGGAAAACAGTAAATTTGCAATATCAAACCAGCAGAAGTAAAAAACAAAAGTAAGATTTCACTTGATTATCAATTATCATTCTTATTACTGTGTATATTCTGTTCACCTGTTAAAAAAAAAAGTAGGACAACAATTTATATAAATGCATATTATCTTTCTATGGGGTTACAAACTAACCTGACTTGGTATTTCTGCATTGTAAGAGAAATATTGTGCATCTGTGGATCATATAGCCTACTGGAAAACAGTAAATTTGCAATATCAAACCAGCAGAAGTAAAAAACAAAAGTAAGATTTCACTTGATTATCAATTATCATTCTTATTACAAGTGAGTGTATATAAATGCAAAGTAAACAAAACCCATGTAATAAGTACTTGAATACCTACACATAAACTGATGCATCCATGCTATTTATGCCCAAACTTTCAAAAGATGGAAGCTTGTGCAGCTTATTGTGATCTCAATTTGCACTAGCTAAATATAAAAAAATGAGTTGTTTTAATGCTCACTAACAAGAAAGCTGCAAAAGTGGCTAGTTTGCTTCCTATTTGTTGACTGAACACAAAGACAAATAAAGAAATCATCATATATACAGTATATACCATATGTTTACATGCATTGCTGCAGTTTCAATTCTCTCTCAGTCTTTCCTAATGAATGTTTGATGCCTGCTGGATATGTAACTTGGCCTTTAAATGGCATCGATTTTCTTACCTGACGCTCCATTCTAGGGCGCCACTTAACAAGCAGTTGTTCCAATCATTATGGGCTCCTGAGTCACACGGCACGGTGGGAGACTAATTAATCGATCAAACTTGGGTAAAAGCTGGTTATACTGTAGAAGGAGATGCTGATGATGAAATTAACAGACTGAGTGGAAAATTTTTAGACAAAGACTACGTTTTATGCACTTAACAGACATATAATTTAATTTACATGAGGAATAGCTTTATAAACAGAAAACACACAATATTAGCATTAGGCAGTAAAGGATGCATTGTGCACTGCGCAGTACAAATCTCCCTTTGGTTTAAAGGGGACTAACAGCTAATCACATTAAAGTCAAAAATACATCGTATGGTCTGTGCCGAGGCTACGCTGTAAGACTACGCAAGTAAATTGGATTTTGAATTCTTCTATAAATACCTTTTTAATTAGTTGATCAAGAAGTATCTGCCAACAATACTTAATCCTGAAGTCTGAAAATAAACTAAGGGGATCAGAATATAAAAATAACAATGACTAAATAAACTTCACTCAAGATCTGATTGCGTAAGATAAATGAGCACTAATCTGGTTTTCTAAAGTGCCTCTGAGACACCAGAGAGATCAGTCTATATGCTTAAATAAGGTTAAAGAAAAGATACTATTTAAGGTACCAGAAGGCAGTGTGGAATATGACACCACCCATATTGTGCAAAGTATTCAACATTAGGTGCTTGCTTAAAGGCACAATATGTAATTTTCACCGCTAGAGGGCGCGTATTCAAAATAAACAAAAAGACAAAGGCATAGTTTGATGACGCCGTGACTGAGTGTGGAATCATGGGAGTTGTCGTCTTCATCCCCACAGCCAGTGTTGGGCAGTAACGCATTACTTAGTAATGAATTACTGTAATTTTATTTATTTTTTAGTAACGGAGTAATTTAACGCGTTATAATTTTCAAAATAGTAATTAGAGTATAGTTACAAGCCGAGGTCTCTATATGTTACTGCCGCATTAGATTGCTGACAGAATGCAGTGTTTTATAATCTAGAGATTGTAAAGTTAAAATTGCTTATTTCTCTGGATTTAAACATTCTTCAAAACATTTGGGATAATGTAAGTACACAAGTCAGCAAAATATATAACACTGTTCTAGTGGTTTTTGGATATTTTAATAAAAAAAATCTTACATATTGTGCCTTTAACAGAACAGCCTAAAAACCCAAACAAAACACAAGCATCATTTACTTCATTTATTATAATAAATATATTGTATATACACTAATTTAACATGAGTACAATTCATATATACACATAAACTATAATAGACTGTTTTTCAGAACACACCTAAGAGCACAAGCAGTCAAAGATGGGCCATCTTTAGAAACATAAACCAACAGCTTGCAGAAGGACTAACAAGATATCTTGGTGTGAATCCTCAGGAGGTCAGAAACACGATGAGCAACCTTAAATATGTCACCTACCTATATAAACTGTGAAACAAATACCTGTTTAATATGCACATCCCTCTGATGCTCTGACAGAGGGTCACAAAGTTGTAGTCTGTCTTCAGGTTGTAGGTATCTGCCGAGTGGTGAAACTGCCAGATAGTGAGAGTGACGGTTAATTTAGGATTCAAATTTGCTAAAATAAAAGCTTTTATGAGACAATCCCACTTTTGATTGTGATCTGTCCAGTTTTCACATTCATGGGTTGAGGAACCAGTCATGATGGACCACCAGAAGAGTTTTTATTCCTTTTGGCTATTCCCTTTAAACACTGATGCATTTTACTAATACCCATCGAGGTGATCTGCTTATCTCCACACCAAGAGCATCATAAATTACCTCCACAATTTCACAGGCCAACCGTAGCAACGTGTTGCTTCATCCATAAGAAAATCTAAAGCCCTGAGCCACTGTCATTCAGATAGACTATCTTCATCCATTATAGATTAATCACCAGGTACCCCAGAATTCCAGCTATGAGCAAAACCGCGGTGAAAATGATCCCTGCAAATACTTTCATCAACCCAGTTTCTCCTTCCACCGTTTCTTTGGGTTCCTCCTCGCAGATCGAAATGACACCAACCGATGAATTCCCAACGCTGACGGTGGATTTCAACTCGGCTCCTGCCTCTTGCTTCGCCTCGACTGCCCACGGCGCCACCTGGACCTTCATCTCCATCTCCTCCATCATCTGGTCCACCTGAGCGATCTCGGTCTCCAGCTCTTTGAGGTCCACCGTGTCGATGTTCGCGTCGGCTTCGTACTTCATGTTTTGGACGCTCATGGCTCGAGCCGAGACGGTGGTGGTGCTGCCTGTCATTCCCGTCTGGATGAGGTGTCTCGTCGGCACTTTGAGAGGAAAATCCTGCCCGATCTCCAAGGACCGCTTCATGTCCACATCCAGGAGCTCCATGCTGCTGGTAAATAGCACCCAGAGGCGCTCGTATTCAGCTCGATCATCTTTGCTGATGTTTTTGTCCTTCAGAAGAGCCGTGAGTTTAGTCCTGTTGGCCACGGCCAGCTCCTGGGCTTTCTTTCGGGTCTTTTTAAGTTCCTCTCGGAGGTTTTGGGAATCAGATGTGCTCCCCAAAGCGATGACCAGATGCCTGAAGCAAGCTGTGACTTTGTTGAGCGCGTCCAACATGGTCTTGCATTCGTCTTTGCCCATGTTTGCGCGGAGATACGGTTAAGTTTTTCACCGAAAATCCACAAAACGCGCTGGATGATAGTGTCTTTTAGTTTCCACGGGAGCAGAGCAGTCACACGAGTGCACTCATCATCATCATCATCATCATCGCTCTCGTCATTGCAAATTCCTCACCATCCATGTTCTCTGTTGATGCAGACAGACAGCAGCAGTCGGGCTTATCACTAAATGGATCCCTAAACGGCTTTAGTTGCGCTGCCGGAGATTAGAAGGCTTCAGTATGTCCGCATGAATTTAAAACGTCGCCTCTCTTCGTCTTTTTGCGCAACGTGCATGCCGTTTGAAACATAACAGGTGTTCATTTTAAAACTCCAAACAGAACGTCTACCTCCATGACGTCACATAGGCATTCCAAGAGAGAGCAATGTAAACGGATTCTCCGAAGGTGGAATGTAAACAAACGCCCGAACGTTCTAAACGCACCGGAGTTGCTGTCGTGTAATGTTTGTCGGTGTCGGTGATGATGCTGATAGTGATGGTGATGAAGATGCCAAGATTTTCAGAAGGCAGCAGCGATCCGTTGTTCGCCAGTCATCCGTGATGCGAGCTTAAATAGGAGTAAATGCTCGCCAGTGAAATAACCAGTCTAGCACTCACATCCTGGAAGATCAGCCAAACCTGTCGCGATTGGTTGGCCGATACCATTTGATACCGTTTTTTATAGGTCTCTTAACAGTATTTATAAGCACTGCTTGGATTTTTGTTTTTGATATACCAACAGCTTTGTTATAAAATGTGTTATATTAGGCTATTTAAAAATGCTTTCATATAACATAATATAGAATATAATAAACAGTTTAAGCTTCTATTTTGTGCTTTGCTAGATGCCTCTCCACAGTAGGCTAAATGTTTTGTAATAGTGAACAGGTGGCAGTGCTACCTTTAAAAAAAGAACACGCAGTCCAATATTTAATCAGAGCTGATATTCATAAACCATTACACTGATGGCATTGCTCAAAAGGTCTGCATCAAATATAGTTGTTCCTTTACTAATTTGGATACCTCTCAAGTAGTTTTGGAACACCTTACAACTTTAACCCAGCTTGGAAGTGTTGATGCTGAGTGGTTTATAGGGTTTATTTTGTTAACAAGCAAAGATTACAAGAGCTTAAATTTGGGCTTTAACTTTAAGCTATATGGAACTCCCTGCCTGGGGTTATTAGGCAAGCTCCTAGCCTACTGTATCCTCTTTTAAGTCTCTTCTTAAGACTCAATTCTATCGTATGGCTTTTTAAAAATGTTGATGGTATTTTTTGTATTTTGTTACTGTACTGATCTTTTTATTGTAAAGCACTTTGTAACTTTGTTTTGAAAGGTGCTATATAAATAAATGTTTACTTAACTGAAATTGTGATTCTTATTTTAGATGCTGCAAACATATCATAATTAGCGCTTTAAGAACTGTGTGCATCACATCCAATAGACCCTAAAATAGGAAACATATGATTCAATGTTTTTAAAGAGATGCACAATACATTTTTGCAGAGTTCCACTGTGAAAGAGCTGTCCCATGAGGACTACACAGATGGAATAGCTTACTTTTAGATACAGGTTGTCCAACAACACTAGTACAACAACCAAAGCTTTTAAACAAGTCTACATTCAACTTTTACTCTATTTTAAAATAAACGTATTTTCAAGCCTATTTCTAGTCCTTTCTAGACTCTTTCTTTATCTCAAGGTTTTAGAAGCACTGATTTTATTTTAAACTTAAAGGTATAGTTACCCAAAAACTCAATTTTTATCATCATTTACTCGCCCTCCAAATCTGTATGAGTTTCTTGCTTTTGTTGAACACTAAAAGAAGTTTTTTTTTTATTTTAATTAATTAAAATTAACTTTTTTTAAATTTTAATTAATGTTGTTAACCAAACGTCATTGACTTCCATAGTACTTTTTTCCATACTATGAAAGTCATTAATTTTTTTTTTACATGTGCAATGTTAATTAAGATTCCTCACACAAAAGTGTGATGTTGTGATGTAGCTTTCATTACCATTTCTTTCTGACCCTAGAAAATTATTAATGTTATAACTATGTGAGTCAGTCATTCCCAGAAAAGAATTTGTCATGTTCATTTAGGGTTCTTTAAAATGGAAAAACTGAATTAGACAAATTCTAAGTTTACTAAAACTAGAAATATGATTTTAGATAATCATATGTGTTTTATGTGCTGTGTATGATTTTCAGTTAAAGAACTAGGCTTTGTTTTCTATATGGGTCACTTTCACTTAATCACCATTGGCAACCACTCAGCCATGTGCTACTTTCAAAAGCATCTCATTTCAAAACATCTTATGTCAGATTGGGTCTCTCATTAACAGACTGCCACTTGTTTGATATAATGAAACCAGAGCCAGAGTATTAGATGTATTGCTCTCCATGAGTACTTGTGCATTGACAAATAATATGGATTTCATAAATAGACTGAAAGATTGCATAAATCAGTCTGTCTATCTGTGTTAGAGATTCGGACTCGTAACCCAAAGGTTGCGGGTTTGAGTCTCGTACCGGCAGGAATTGTCGGTGGGGGGAGTGAGTGTACAGCGCTCTCTCCCACCTTCAATACCACGACTGAGGTGCCCTTGAGCAAGGCACCGAACCCCCAACTGCTCCCCGGGCGCCGCAGCATAAATGGCTGCCCACTGCTCCGGGTGTGTGTTCACTGCTGTGTGTGTGCACTTTGGATGGGTTAAATGCAGAACACTAATTCCAAGTATGGGTCACCATACTTGGCCACATGTCACATCACTTTTCACTTTATCTATCTATCTATCTATCTATCTATCCATCCTATTTTAGCGCACATTTTTGTTCAGTTATCCCCATATTCAATAAGTATTCATAGACAGAAATAATTGGGGTGAGTATTTCCTCTAAACTGAATGAGAGAGCATGTGGAGTTGAGAATGCCAAATATATTTGAATGAAGGATTAGTCATGCATTAATAAGAGGGAAATATTGATTTTTGTTCTCAGTTTACCCTTTCCTCAGAGCATATGCAGATACAGACCCACACAGGCTGTGTAATGGGTAAGAATCTGTGCTGCTATCACATATGTCGTGAGCAGGATCCCAGACTGGGGCAACCCTCAGCTGTAGCTTTGCTTCTGTTATGTCTCTGTTGTCCCTGTGAGAAAGACGCCTCACCCCAGGTCTGCTCCAGCGGGACTGTCTCTGCAATTAGCTCACTGGGAGATGCTCTGAATAAAAAGCCACTGCCAAATAACAATTAATTTACAGACTCTGCCTCGTTTTAACTGATAATCATAGTGTCTTTAACATGTTTGTAAAATGTGAAAGGAGTGAAGTTATTTCCTTATGAAATTAACTCTTCATGAAACCAATACTCAGGAACTCACACAAAACAGACGCCATGCAATAAAACAATAAAACTTATCTGGAGAAGAAATCTTCAAAGAGAGCAAACAACACCTCTCTCCTCGCCCATTTACGACCCCCTTCTCCCCCTGTCCGCAGCTGGCGGGTGGGTCCTTACAAATGAATAGATATAATTCCCTTACAATTGAGTTGCATATTGTTTTACTGTACAATAAGAGCCATGATGAGACTTCACCTGCTGGGAGACCCGGAGGGAAAAACCTCCACATTACCCTGCTGTGTGAATGCAGAATAGGATATGCCATTGCAACTGCTGCCCCATAGGGTGAAAAACAGCACGTCCCTGCAGGCCACTGGCTGAGTCGACCTACCATTACTTCTGCCAGCTGTGCCACCACAATAAACCCACCCCAAGAGACTTCATATAGGCCTAATGCATCATGGTATTCTTTGAAATGCCATGCAAATACCATATGCTAATCATTCAGTATTTTACCAGTAGTAGAACAATATAGAAGCACCACACATATGAATTCAAAAATTCAAGAAAATTGAAGCTTATCTGGTGATCTGCTTAGTATTTATTTCAATTCAAATGTAATTTTTTAGAGAAATGTTTTTATACCTACTTCAAGCGAAATGTTAATTAATATGCTTCTGTTCACAAGTTTGAGGTCAGAAAATTTTATTCAGAAAGGATGCATTAAATTGATCAAAAGTTTCAGCGAAGACATTTATAACGTTACAAAAGTTTTCTATTTCAAATAAATTAAACCTTAAAGAATCATTACAAAAATGTATCACATTTTCCACATAAATATTAAGCAGCACAGCCATTTTTTTTAACATTTATAATGAGAAGAAATGTTTCTTGATCAGCAAATCAGCATATTAGAATGATTTCTGAAGGATCAAGACTGGAGTAATGATGCAGAAAATTCAGCTTTGCGTCACAGGAATTAGTTCGATTTTAAAATATATTCAAATAGAAAACAGTTATTTTAAATTGTGATAATATTTCGCAATATTATACAGTTTGTAGTGTATTTTCAATCAAATAAACAGTCTTGTTGAGTAAAAGAGATTTTTATTTATTTATTTATTTTAAATCACAGACTAACTTAGGTAAAATAAAAATCTATAATGATTTGCATTCACATTAATGAGTGGTTATTTAGATGTGAAATAACATTTAAATTATTATTTATTTACTGAATGCATTTTCCTAAATGTTTATTTTAACAGCATTTTCGATTCTAATTAGTGATTCACATCAATCAAGGCATTTTTGCAGTGTTGATGTTGACTATAAGTACATAGACTTTTTTTCTTGGTGAAAGCTTTAATGTACTTGTGGGTACGGAAAGTATTCAGACCCCCTTAAATTTTTCACTCTTTGTTATATTGCAGCCATTTGCTAAAATCATTTAAGTTAATTTTTTTCCCTCATTAATGTACACAGAGCACCCCATATTGACAGAAAAACACAATTTCATTTGGGAACAAGTCTATTTCATTTAATGGTTCCTCGTTTGTTACCATCTGTTCAAAACCTAATCATGACATCTGGTGCTGGCAGCTTATTGTTGTTTTCATGAGTACCTTTACAAATTCCATATTCATTTCTGCTTTGAGCTGATTTGATCTGCCACTGAAAAAATCATGTAGAACACTGACACACGACCAGCCATGCTCAGGGAAAATGTTGCTTGATGTTTAAGCTCTTCTCCAGTGGATGGAGAGGTGACCTGAAATACACTCACAGCAGGAAGCTCTTAGCCTTGGAGAGGGCAAATGAGCCCACAAGCTTCCAGCTGCTTTCCTGTCATAAGCAGCAAGGTTCGTATTGGCAGGTTCTATACTTTCCCTGGATATATTGAACTTAAAATGTACTCTTTAAAGGGATAGTCCACCCAAAAATGAAACTTCTTTCATGTTATTCCAAACCTGTAGAGCAGCTGAATTAAACTTGTTTTGATGGACTTAACTGTATGCATTTCTTTCTTCTGTGGAACATAAAAGAAGATATTTTGAAAAATGTTGCTAACAAAACTGAAAAACGGTTTTAGTTTCCTTCGACTTCCATTGCATGGACAAAAAACACAATGGAAGTCAACAGGAATTGAAACTCTTTAATGCGTCAAAGTATATTTTTTCATGTTCCACAGAGGAAAGAAACACATTGAAACATGAGGGCGAGTAAATTATGATGGAATATCTTTTTTTGGTGGACTATCTCTTTAAGTTTTTTGACCTGATCAGCAACCCTGTAAA